AAAAAAAAAAAAAAAAAGCTGTCTGCTCTCTGTCTTTCTGGGGCTTTGCTGTTTGACCATGTCATGCACATATATATGTGGCCTACAGCTGCATCATGGGAAAACGTAGAGCATTTTGTAAGATGAAAAATCAAATGAGCACTTGGATGACAAACTCCTGAATTTTCGAAGCTCAGGTCACTGAGAGGCACTAGTTGGGAACCTAGCCGTGGATGAGGGCACTTAAAAGTAATTTAAAGAAGAAGAGCTAATGGTCAGTGAATATACGCCATCTGCCAGTGCACGCTTTGCACACATCAGCCAGACTGAACACCTTAAAAGATTTAAGTGCACTGGAACTTAGCAGCTGCATTTCAGCTCCTCCATGGGATTCGGGATTGACCATTCACAAAGCAGGAATAGAATATCCTTTTCTTAAGTCTGCCCAGGTACTCACTGATACATGCATAACCATGTTTGGCTTATCACGAGGGTAGTGAATGTCATTCTAAACACAAGTTTACCATTAACACCATCTTCAAAAATGCTCCAGTGAGCAGTGTGGCCACAGAGACTGGGTGTCTTAAAGGCATGAGTCACACCCGCTCCTTTAGATCAGAGAGATTGAGGACTCAACCTTTCATAAAGTAAAATAAATGCACTAGAATTTAAACCTGGTCCCTTTCCTTCATGTGAAGCTATGAGGTAAAGCAATGTTTCCTTTTCTACCTCTGCTGTGCTTACCGAATCAGAAGACTCCAAACACGTGGTCTTTCTTAGATACATAGGAAAGAAATTGGGGGAAATTTGGAGACTTTTGTGTCTCCTTCCCCCTCTGCCTGCCCCATTCTCCTCCCCACAACCCCCCATTTTCAAGCGCTCCAAACCTCCACCTCCAAACACAGTAAATGAAATGCTAATCTATCACCAGCAAATTTAGGCTGACAATACTGTGAATCGACCGTATTGATGACATTGATTACATTTCAAATATTTACACTACAGTGAGACAAGCCTAATTTATTCTCTAAAGAGTTCAAGGTAGGGCTCAACCGTTTCCGAGTCGGGGAGACAATGGAGAAATGTTTGTGGTTGCTATCTGCAATAATCTGATGCTGACAGAGAGTAGTATTTTATTTAGTAATTAACAGTGTAAAGGGGAGAGAAGCTGTCATGTTGGTTCTTAAGCTGGAGAATGTGATGAAAGATGATATCTGCGATCTCATCCTTTCTACTTGTTTAGGATTGTCAGGATGAGAAATGTCAGCATTATGAAAGCTCGGCTCTGCTCTTGATATGATAAAACCCTTCAAAAGCCAGTCTTCCTCCATCCCTCGTCCCCCTCCTTTCTTGCTCTCTCTCTCTCTGCACTTGCTTTTTATTTATCCTGTTTTGTTAGATGGCAGAAATATAATTCTTTTCTTTCTTCCTATTATAAGCCACCATTTTTGTTTTATTATATGTTTCACAACCCCTAATGCCCCACTGAAAATTACCTTGTTAAATGACAGTGTTTCAAAGCCATGAATCCTTTCCACCATTCCCTCAGAGGTTTGAAACAGTCAACAGACTGTAAAGAATAAATAATAAAAAAGTATTGATTATTTTGATGACTGTGAGATTCAATTAAGTATTAATTTTGCCCTCCAGTGGACCTATCAAGGTATTCAAAAGGGAGGATTTGGCTCAGCTAAATGCGTGCTGAGTGCTTCAGACTTAAATAGGGAGAAAATGTGTTTACCTACAGTATTTGAAGAAGAAGTGCATTGATGCACAGAGTCCAATATTTAAGTGCTGTGCAAATTAAGCCCTGGTGACAGTGACATTGTTTTCCGTGGTATGAGTATTGACTAAAGAAGTGAATCTGATGACAGCTTAAACTATTTGTATTGATTAACATTTTCATAGATTATCATGTGTCATATCAAATTTACTTTTCAGGCATGAATACATTAAAAAAAAATAACCCCAGGCTTACCACAACCAATGTAATGATGGGACAAGACAGCATGTGGCCCTACCTGCCCCTGCGCTGGTCACCTGTCTCCTGCTCAGGAGCCATTTAAGCATGAACTTGGCAATAAATAGCTCCCAGAACACGCAAGAGGGGCACTTCCGGCTTTTCTCTCCCTTCTGCCTCTGATACCTGTGCCACCGCAATAGCGTGCGTCTTAGTTTGCAAATGGAATAGAAGGCTGCCCTTGGAAAAATATTGCTGATCCTAAAATGCCCTCCTAACGAGCTGAAGATAAAGCAGATTTAAATTATTGGGGGGTAAAGTTTGCCTTTTCGGAGGTGATCTTTGACTTCTTTTTCTTTAATGCTCTGGGCATAGGATGCTCTAGGTATCCGAATTATTGAACAGAGTTTGTAAGTATTTTTCCAATTCCTTTCAAAAACTGTAAACCAATTTTCATCTCTTTTATTGTTTGCTTTCAAATGTTCATTTGATTTGGGGTCAGCTGCAGTCCCAAATCTGGGACCAGCGAAGTCAACTTCTAAGGGTGCTGCTAGAATTTACATAAGAAATCTCTTTCATTCCATTGAAAGCCTTTGGAGGACTCTTTTCTCCCTGTCTCTTTTTTCTGTTCTCAGGATAGGGTTTAATTGCTTCTCCCCCAGGGAGAGGGCTTCCTAAAATAGCCCTTGGGTCCTCCCTAGGGTCCTCCTTCCTTTTGAGTCTGTTGCTGAAGTACAAACCTCGCACTTTCTTTTTTTTTTTTTCTCTCTCTTCTTGCATTCAAGACAGCACAAGGTGTAAAAACATTTGCACAAAAGCACATCCCACAATTAAAGCTGTGTTGGTTAGGTTGCTTTCAAAGAAGTTTTTTCTTTTCTCTCGCTCTCTTTTTTTTTTTTACCCTCAGAAGCCTCCTGCATCTCTCTCATGCTAGTTGAGCTTTAATAGGGTGGGGAGGAATGGAGAACTCGGATCTGTAATAGCTCTTCACTTGACTGCAGCCAGCAATAACAGCGGGAGCAGTCAGAGATAAGAGAGAGGGGAGAGAGGGAGAGTCTGTGTGTGGAAGAGAGAGAGAAGAGGAGAGGGAGACAGAGGACGCGCGCACACTCAAGCAGCCACTTTTTTTTCCTCCCCTTCACTCTTTTCCCCCATCCTAGGATCCAATGATAGCTGGACAAGTCAGTAAGCCCTTGCTGTCAGTGCGGAGTGAGATGAATGCGGAGTTGGGAGGTGAGGACAAGGCTGCTACTTCAGACAGCGAGCTGAATGAGCCCCTGCTTGCGCCCGTGGGATCAAATGACAGCGAGGACACTCCCAGCAAGCTCTTCGGTAAGTCTGTCTAGGTCTTTCATTTCACTCCTACCATGATGTCCGGAAGAGCCATCCACGCCCTCACCCCCTCCTCTTTTTTTTCCTGTTGTTCATTCAATTTTCTTCTAAGTACCAAAGAGGACCTTGGCATCGTGGAGGGGCCGAACCACCCCAGCTGATGAAGCCAGCTGGCTGGGAGGGTGTCCTCCAAACTTTTCCCAACCAAGAACTTCCTCCTGCCCCTTTGCACTGGTCAGATGTTGCTAGCGTCCCCGGGCTAGAGATCATGGGGGAAAAAAGAGGAGGAGAATCATCGTCAGGAAATCAGTTCCATTGTGAGAATTGGTTAACGTTTATTGAATAAATATCGACTCGGTTTCGGGTTGCTTCGCAGCCTTTTGTTAAGGGGAAGGAGAGTAAAGAGTTATTATCTGTAGTCAAAAGACCAGAGAGGGGAACTGAGAAATATCAATACCAGTCATTCTCTGCCAGGCAAACAAAGGTGGCTACGGGAAGGGCACAAAGACATGACATTTTGTGATCACAATTAGAATGAACATCTCTTCTTTTAAAAGGGTGATGAGGGAAGAAAATAGGTCCTTGACATCCCTCGCCTCCGCCGCTCCCCTTTAACAGACGTTTATAGCCTCATCCTAATGTGGAGGCAGCCCAGAACCTTTTTAGAAATCTTCGTTTCGTAAACAAAACAAGAACAAGCAGAGTGCCACTCCAGCAAAGACATCTGTCATTCAAACAGATGACACTCTGTAAGCCAACTCAAGCAACTGTGATCTCTAATCAGAAAGGGGAGCAGGCTGTGTTGAGGCGCATGACTGAGTGATGGACGGTGATAGATGTCTCTGCTGGGAAAGCACTTTATGGGATAGAGTGACATTAGGTTTTCAGAACAGTTGTTCCTGAAGCACTTGCTTTTAATTATTTCCAAGTGTTTATATACTTCTGACACTAAATATATATTATCTATATACATATATAACACGTACTAACCTGTTCATACATATATATACTAACCTGATATATATACCTCAGAGATATATATGTATTGATCAGGCAGAGAACAGGTTAAAAACTGTCAAGTGCCTGAACTGTAAAGAAACACAACATCATGGCATAGACTCCTTTATTAAGAAAGTCATTAATTCAGTTAAAAAGATGAGCTTAAAAAAATAACTATAGAAAAATGCAGCTTAGTTTGGCAACTCTAGGCCAGCTTCAACACAGGAGTTTTCTTCTGATTTTAAATACTCAGTCAAACATTAGAGGAGTATTGCAGAGAAACTTTCTGTATCAAATTTTCTGTTGGTAAAATACTGTTTTGTAGTTAAGAGTATAGGAGATGCCAGTTTCAAGTAATTTTTTCATATGACCCTTTCTTGCAAAAGCGGCAATTCCACTTCTGACATAAATTTTCCATACCTAGGCATTAAGATTTTAGTATTTTTACTCTAAAGAAATATTTTGTTGTAGTCTGAGTTTTTATCTATGTAAGAAGAGTTATGTCCTAAAACACTCCTTTCATTTCAAGGGGTTAGTGAGAGAAGGCAGATAAAACTGTAAATTACAGGAAGGCAAAAGCCATGCTCCAGCCTCTTTGATGTTGAATATACTAATACTAAGCACTCTGACTTTTAAAAAGTGATCAGTTGTGAATTCAACATAACTGAAGATAATGGATTATGTGTTCCTAAACTTTGCTTGCATTTTTTAAAAGTAAATGCTTTTTGTAGACTTTGACTTAAAACCTCAACTTGTTGGTTTTTTTTTTTCAAGTAAACCAATAGAAGGGTAATTAATTTGGCTTCTCAACATTTGTTTAGATTTTCCAATGTTGAAAATTGTCATAGATTTGTTATGTCACCTCTTACTGATTGGCATGTGTAGAGAAATAAGCTTAAAAAAATCCAAGGTTGGGGGGGGTCAAAGAAATTTGAATTAAAAGTTCTTTGAAAATATATCTTAAGTGGAATCTTTACGGGGTAACCTAAGGAATCATAGTGTAGTTTAGAAATCTTAGCAGGTTTTAGAAGGTACTCATCTTTACTTTGGAATACTCACCGTCTGAGTTTGTGCAAGAGAATCCAGCAAAGTCTACATCTTATATCTACTATTTCTTGTTTATTCACTTTTATTTGGTCTCTGGAGTGCTTTTTAAACACAATGTGAATATTTTCCAGTGTCCTATTAGGTTAAAAGAAATCAGTAGATGAACAGTTTTGAAAACTTAAGGAAAAAAAATGGAGACAATTTGAGAAAGATAGAATAGAAAGCAGCCCAGAAGGATGCTTTTTTTCCCCCTTTTTACAAAGTAAGCTGTGATTTTATTGTGACATTCTCATCGATGGAAAATTAACTGAATATTTATTCTGTCCATTTCATTTTACAGTAATCTTACCATTTATTATCTCATTGGTCTCTCAGGTTTCCTTAGCTACTGGTTCTATTATGCTCTCACCTTTTAATATTATTGGGACTTAGCATTAGGAACTCTAGTCTATGTAACTGGCTAAAACTTTCTAGTATAATTCTCAGGATTTTACTAGAAAGCAACTAGTTTACTAGCAACTTTGGCAACACTTAATGGGTAGTAATTTACTGGACCATTATTTTATTTGACGTATGTTCAAGTTTTTTGTTTCCATATATAATTGTGATTATACTCTTCACTTGGTAATGAAGTGAATAACTGAGAGCGTCCAGGTTTATCTCTAAACAATACTTTTCTAACATACTCTCTCAAACCATCAGTCTTACAGCATATTCATTGTATTTTTGAAAACTGAGCTTCTGGAGTGAAAGGAGCAGATTAAGGCAAATGTTTTTTGTATATCTTGGTCTGTTTACTTTTGTGGAGAGACATTTACCAACGAGAGGAGACAAGAAGAGTTCCATTTTTTATTGTACCCGAAATTTCAGTATAAATGGATTTCTTTGGAGTATAGTCCCCCTTTTGTGTCTTGTTGAAATTAGCAGTCCAGAGGACGTCTGTTTCTCTCACAGTATGGCATCTTCAGCCCAAAACTACAGGAGGAAGGCTAATACGGATGCCCTCTATGGATAAACAAAGGAAATTCCATTTGTTTATAAACAAATACAAAGGAACCGTTGGGCCTTTTTATGCTTCTCCTTAAATTGCACCTCTGCACTTAACAGCATCCAAAGGGAAACACACTCTGCAGAATGTTTCAGTGTTCTGAGCAGCTCAGAATAACAGGAGAAACCAGAAGCCATATGCCAGCCTAAAGAGAAAGTTCAGAAAAGGGCCCTTGTGTTTTGTAAAGTAATTACATCAGAGGTAATGTTTTCCTTAACTTGAACAGCCATGGAAACTAAAGTACACTTAGGAGGGATGAATCCTCATTTCATTGAGAAATGTGTGGTTAGCTCGTTGTCTGTGATATCATTAAGTGGTACGTTATTTATTCTTGTAAAGCCTGTGGAATAACTCTTCCTTTTTCAGTTCCTGACTGTATTATGCAAAGCTCTGAGCCGTAGGAAACAGTGTGGAGGAGAGTAGACTTGCACGTCAGGAGGTATTATCAGAGAATCTGCTTCTGTGTCTCCCTGTGTTTCAGCTGCGTGATCAGATGAGTGATACCATGCAGGGCTGGTCATTTAATATGCGATGAGTGATGTACATATCGGAAACCACTCTCAAAACTGGCCTTTGGCAAACAGTCTCAAAGGGATGAGGTTGCTGTGTTTCTCCAGTGACATTTATAGCACTCGTGTCAATGTGGTGCTTCAGTTTTAGTTATGCCCATCAAGAATTCAGTGTTCCACATTCAGTCAACTTGGATGCTAAAATTCAAATGGTAGCATCAACAGCTTGGTGAGGAAAATGGCCCCAGAAAGGATAAAAATAATATATATCCCTAGAAAAAATATCTGTACTCAAGTTTTCCCATGCAGTCTCAGCAGAAGTGAGATCGTATAAAACATGCACTAAATATTTTCTCTCATATATATTTGAAATTCCAAAGATGATTTATCAGCAGTCCTCCTCCTGGGAATATTTTTATTGTTTCAAGTTGAACCTCATGATTGCTTTCCTTCAAGTCCCAACTACCTTGGGTGGCTGGGTTAGTTTCTTAGTGGTACCACACTGCACGGGAACTGGGCACACGGCTCTAAAGCCTTGAGCTGAGGCATAAACAAACAAACAAAAAAACCATTTATAAACCTTGTGCTTGAAATAAAAATTGGTGGTTGGTTTTCTCTTATGATATTGTGTTTCTCTAGGTTAAAAGAAATTGCATGCAATGATACCTGTAAGGGTGGGTATTTTCAACGTCATTTATCTGTGAACTATTGCAAAAGGGTTGAAAGTTGGGTCAGTGATTCTTCGCTAGAAAATGCAGTATCTGTAGGGTTTTTCTTTTCCTTCCCTTTCCGTTATCTTTCTCATAGAAACATGCATTAGAAGATTTTTTTTTTTGAATTGCCATCCAGTTTGACTTGATTAGAATTTATAGCAGTGGAGTCATTTCCAATGACAAAAGGATAAAGGACTAAATTGTCTGTCACCCCTTGAGGCAGTGGTCTCTGCAGGTCAGCGTGGTGGTCGTTGGTTGGGCGTTATAAGGACTGCACTTAGTGGTGAACCTGCCTCTTGCCTGTGCATAAGTGGAGGCCTTCATTATAGCATCAGTCACTCTCTTTATTACTTTATTTAAACATCTTTCAATGCCTTGATATTGATAATATTCTGATAAAATATGCTGGGACCAAGTAATCAGTAATGGGGCTTAAGCCCAAGAGGGTTTTAGCTGGGAGTTGATGAGGAAAATTCCCTAGAGAAATAGATTTACTGAAAATATGAACCATGTTTCTGGATCTTTTAAAGTTTCAATATTATAGCCATTGAAAATGCATACTATTTTTTTCACTGAAGAGAGTGTGTTTTGTTAGAGAAACATTAAAACAGCATCTTTTTAAATCAACTAACTAATCCGAGTAATAGATTTGAGGCTAAACCAGTTATTAAAAAAAAAAAAAAA